GGTTTGTGCTGGTTATCTGCGTTGCCAGACGGATATTTTTAAAAAAAAACCCAGATGGTGGGAGAGGAAGGGATAGTGCAAGGCATTGCGTGGGGTATCACAGAAATTTATGGCTAAACGCGTGAATGCAGATCATGTGTGTAATGGTGAATCACACTGGCAGTGGCGCAAGTGTGGAAATCAATCAATAATTCAAGGCCTATTAGGTATGAGGCTTTTACCACTAGTCAAAATGACATTTGAAGGTCAGATTTGAGGATAATAATGTAATGCTTTAAGTCTGGTTTTTGTTGAAAATGCGAGTAAAAATTCGGCTGTAGAATGTGCGACATTTGTAACCACAGCAACGCAGTGGGAAATTGGTGACTTCGTTAAGCTATATAAACCTAATCCCATTGCAAATTCGGGATTAGGGAAGATTTCGCACAAACGAGATTGCACCACCTGGAAATGTTTAGAAGAGAGGGTGGTTATACTGTCTGTGGGAAAGTTAGTTAAAGTGCGGAAACGAGGGGACACTTAACTGATTTGTGTGGACCCTCTCTGGACAAGGTCTGGGGAAATCGATTTGCATGACCCAGTGATCAAAGACACTGGACCACAGAAAAATCGTTTTACTGTAGTGCATTCACCAAGACCGAGGTACTAGAGGTACAAAAGTGCTTAGAGGGAACCATGATATGTTTAAGATGTCTGATGCTTCCAATAATTTGGCCTGAGGAAATCCAACGGTTTCACTGACTCGTAGGCTGCTGACGAAGCTTCCAACCCTTACAGTTACGTGTCCGTTAGGACAGTGAACGAGGTGGTGGAGAGGGAGTTTCTGGAGTGGCAACCGACGCCAACACGAGTGAACGTGCCCCATATTTCCCACGACAAATCATGACGAAACAATCGCCTGCTTTTGTGAATGCGTGCGATTTGGAGACCGCGGGTAATGGGACCACGGCTTTGGCCAGCCGCTCCCTCAAAGTGCACTTGACAGTCGTTAATGCAAATGCCAGTGTAGAGGTTGTCGCACACCACACCCGAAGAGGTGTGTCCTAGCCATTACCATCCACAAAACGCTTCTACATGAACGCATTTTTGTGGCATTATTCTTCAGATGGTTTGATGTGCAGTTTGTTTATTTTACGTCGCCTTGAATTATATCGGT